CACACACACACACACACACACACACACACACACACAGGAGGGGGTCTGAAGGAAAGGAAAGGAAGAAATTAGAAGATTAACAAACCAAGTTCCAAAAACATAAAACACAGTGTTTACCTTTGATTATAGAGGAAATTCTTATTATACAGATAAATATTTGTGCTGATACTTACATACTAGCTCAATTAGTTGACTGGGCCATTAAGCATATATCAATTTTCATCACAAAGCTTATTGTTTGAAGCAATTGCTAAGAATTCAATGCTATAAATGGTCAGTATAAATTATGAAGAAATATGGACAAATGAAAAAAGCCTTAAGACATATGTGAAAAGAAAAAGAAATATTCCAGTAGTAGCAAAGATAACTCTGCACTTAAGAGCACAGGATGCTTTTTCAGACCACACAAGTTTTATTCCCAGCACCCATTTGATGGCTCAGGGCCATCTTTAACTCCAATTTCAGGGTATCTGATGCCCTCTTCTGGCTTCCATGGGCCCCAGGCACGTGCATGGCACATGGGTATATATGTAGTCAAAAATCCATATTCACAAATAAAATAATACTACTATAAAAATTAAAAATGGAAGGTATTAAATAAACCATTTGCAATAGGCCACAGTGGCATGATGACGGTTTCCACCTCACATGAAATGGAAGTGAGAGAACAGTACCTTCCTTCCTTGTTCAGGACTGCACAGGCTGGAAACTATCATGAAAGCTTAAAAGCTGTGAAGCTTTGCTTATTCGTCATTGATTCATGTTTGAGTTAGAATCTGTGCAACATTAGACATGATAAGAAAAAGCATTTGAGAGACTGTGAGTTGGATTTACCATGATTGTCTACAGAAGAGCATCATTGAACTGCAAGGTGAGTAGACAAGGTAACTCTAGCTGTAGATCCTACATAGTACGAGATAATTTTTAGCTATTGCCTGTAGCCCAAACTATCCATATGACCAAATTATGAATTAATTTATCTTTCTCAATATTTGAAATACAGCTGTGTTAGTTATACTTACCAGTTACTTGAAGTATACAACTTCCCATGCTGTCAACAATGTTATATATGCAATCAGTTCTCTCCAGACTGGCTTGTGTGTTGGTTCTCACTCTACCCCATATCTGTGACTTTGTGCTCCATTGCTCATTTAGTGGTTGATGAAAAGCAATCTGATAAGCTAATTCTTACTAAGGTTTAATTACTTAACAGCTTGATTATTAAATCTCCAAGGGTATTTGGATTTTGAACAGAGGACTCTTAAATGTTAAAGTCTTAATTCAATAGAATTAATTAGTGGTATTTTAGTGGAGGAAGATATTTTGTTGGGGCCCAAAAGGCAGCATACATGAGGATTCCATAAAAACTTAAATCTCTTCCAATATCTAGCATGTTCTAAAAGAAATACTAGTGATATATTATGTAGCTTTTAAGAATAGCAAGCTCTAGGGAAAACAGTATGATGTTTGGAATTAAAACCACATACATGCCTCCCTCTACACTGCTACTTTGGATACCCTGCGCCTTGATGTCTCTGCTTTCTCATCTTTTAAGTTGAGGTGATATCATAACAGGTTCCAGGACACAATGAGAAGTCAAGAAAGGTTCTCTGTGGAACAGAGAAGTGCACTATTATTTTAGGTTATTCAGAATCATTTGTTTCCATGAATTAGAATCACATTCCATACATTTTTCTAATGCATTATGGTAAGGACAATTGCCAATCAAATAATTAGTTTTGCACTCAAAGAAGACTATACTGGTGTATTTATATGAGGTTTCTAAGTGCTTCACATGGGTTAGATTTTTTTTGTAACATCATGAAAGCATGGAAGGAAGAACCCTAGAGTAAGAACAAATTATGAAATAATGTTCACT